GCACTTTTTTTTAATTAAACACCTGCAAAACATATAGAAGAATACTCTGAAGCACAATAGATAGTAATATTATCCTGCCTCCAGTAGAAAGGAAAACATTTCTCCAATCGTTAATATTACGTTTGATTTTATCAAAAACATCATCCATATGAATTTGTTTCCTCCCTCCCCTAATCAAATTAATCCCAAGGTATTTAAGAGGGAGAGAGGCATAGTGATAACCTGTATAAGAAACCCCCCAATAAATAAATTGCTGCTTAACATGTTTGCCAAAATACATCTGACATTTGTCACAATTAAAAACTAGTCCAAAACAATTTTGGAAATCATTTAAGAGCCTCATTAATTGTTTTAAGGCAAGTTTAGAGGCATTAGCAAAAATAATAACATCATGTGCGTAAAGTGAGAAACCACCATTTTGGCCTTATGAGAAAACTGTGTATGAGGGTGAATCAGTTGAAAATGATTGAGCATTTTAGATAAATAATCAAAGGATAAAATAAAAATAATAGGTAGAGAGGGTCCTCCTGTTTAATGCCCCTGCAAGCAGTGAAGAAACCATAAGAATTACCATTAACCATCACTAAGTAATGATTGTTAGCCAACCATCTTTTTTGTTAGCCAACCATAATCAATATGCAAAAACTGGAATTGAAACTTCTGGCCTTCAAAACTTTGATGATAAAATCCCAGCTAATAGTATCAAAAGTCTTCTTGATATCTAATTTGATAACTAGATTGTCACCCCTGCATTTTTTATCAAGATCTTGTAAAATTTCCTGGGCTAAGAGGATATTGTCAAAAATATCACGGCCTTTTATAAAAGCAGATTGATGTAGAGAGATGAGAGAAGGAAGATGAGGTTGTAGGCGGGCCACAATCAATGGCGGGCCACAATTAATTTGCTAATAATTTTTTAAACCATAGAAGTGAGCGAGATAGGACGGAAATTCTTCTAATGCAATTTATCATTAGATTTAAGTATAAGAACTATCAAGGCGGCGGTAAAATACTTTCCAAGATCTTTTCCCCAAAAAAAACTTTGGATCGCAATAACCACCTCTTTTTTTATGATGTCCCAGCAAGAAATATAAAAAACAGAAGTGAAACCATCAGGGTCAGGAGCCTTCTGGGAGTGAATATCTTTGAGGGCAGAGAAAATTTCTATCTCAAAGGGGGGTTCAGACAAAGAGAGGGAGGAAGCCATATCTCTATGAGCATCAAACATTTCTGAATGAATATCAGTGACTGGTAGAGCATCAGCATAAAGAGAGGTAAAATAATCAGCGGCATTGGAACCAATTTGATCAACATCAGTGAGGACAGCACCCTTATCGGTAACAATCTTAAAAATAGCATTAATAATGTTTAATGGTGGCATGAAAATACTTAGTGTTTCGATCACCATTTCTAAATTGAGTGTCACAAGCTTTTTGTCTAAGGAAATCTTCCTCAATAGTGATTTCTTCCAAGAGAGTACGGTGAGCATGGGCTAACTTAGCAACAAGATCAGGAGTGTCGATCACCTGTACATCCACCTCATGTTGGGCATTCAAAACCCTAGAATGCACATTGCCAAAAATATCAAAGTTCCACTTCTTTAAAAAGTAGTCACATTCTTATGCAATTGCCATAAAATAAACCAAGGGTTGTCACTCCACCGTGAGACGCAAGCCTGTTTAATCAAATCAAGAAAGGTAGGATGAGAAGTCCAAACATTAAGAAATTTGAAATGAGAAGGAGCAGGTTTAGCATGAAAAGCCAACCTAAGCAAAATTGGATTATGATCCGAAGCCGCATGATTAAGATGCTTAACATGAATAATATTATAATAGACTAGAAAAGAGGAATTTCCCAAAAATCAATCCAGTCTCTACATAAGAAGGTCCCTTCTCCAAGTATAGGGAGCACCCGAGAAACCCAAATCATAGAAGTCAGCATCGGCAATGTGCCCACAAAAACGATTGATAAGGTTTGTATCAACTTTAGCACCACCCCTTCTCTCCAAAAGAGACAATCATATTTAGATCACCCCCAACAAACCAGCTATCAGAAATAGAAGCACCCATTTGTGTAAGTTGTTACCAAAGAAGTAATTTGTCTTGTGATAAGGAGCTGGCGTAAATAAAAGTAGCCCAACCATGAAAATCTTCCACTTGATAATGATTAGAACATACTGCACATTATCATCAATAATGTTGAAAGTGATATCTTTTTTTCCAAAAGAGCCAACTTTTATTGTACTGATTACTATAGTGCATGTAACTCTTGAATTTCTTAATGATATCCTCCTTATGAACCGACACAAATGGCTCCAATAGAACAATGTCTGGCTTATGGACCCTACATAAATATTTTAAACGATTAAAGGAGTGGGGGTCCGCCACTCCCCTAATGTTCCATACAAAAATGTTGGCCCAAAACACCCCACTCCTAGCAATCCTAAGGGGAAGGTGCAAGTGCTCACCCTCAGAATGATAAGTGACCTCAATATTATTTGAATAAGTGACATCAATATTATTTGATATTATTTGAATTTGTCATATTAGGAACTTCTGATTTCCTTCTACCGCGTTTCCTACTGTATTTTTGAATTGTCCATTTGGAATCCAAAGCCAAGCAGCAACAACTGCTGGGTCAGGCGATGGAGTGGTAGAAAGTATAGTAGTGTGATGTGTAGATAGTTGTGGGGTGTCCTGAATGTGTAATTCTCCAGGCAATGCAATGGGGGAGCTGTATCATATTTTCTTTCTCAGATGTATTGTGTGTGGCAGCAAACGACTCCACATTCTCTTCAACTCCATATTCTCTTCAGACCGCTCAAAGGGCAAAGGGGCCACGTGTGCTACGCCATTTAGATGGGCAGCACTGGTTTCCTTAAAGGTAGGAGTAATTTGTTCAGCAACCAGTTCAATAGGAGGTGTTCGATGGGTAGATTTCTAGCCATTGAAGGCCCCGTTAAGTTATAAGTCGAAGCATCTAGTATTAACGGCTTACCATACATAGCAGCAATCAAAAACAAAATTTCATGGTTGAACAAATGCACCTTTAAACCAGGTAGCCGAAGCCAGACTGGAATAATAGGAAGCTCAGCCCGAGGATCAAAGTCAGTTGTCCATTTAAGGACTTTCATCCAGACATCCTCAAAACGAACTGTTCTTCTCGCAAAAAGTTTAGTGTAGTCATCCTCGTTAGATAGTTGAATCAGGATATGTCTGCTATCGAGAGCACTAATCTTCCACCCCCCAGTTAAATTCAAAAGCTCAAAATATTTCTGTAGGAAATCATATTTAGGAAGCCCGTAGAGGAACTTACCTACCAGGTGAAAATGACAAGCAGAGGCAAGAATGGAGTTTTCAGAGTCGGAGAGGAAAAGCGCAAACTTTCCCCCCTTCTTCCCTTACTTCTTAATGAAATTATATTCCCCGCCAAGAATAAGTGATTCTTGAAATGAAGAAGGAAACGCAAACTTAGGAGGAGCAGGGGAGGAGGATCCCTCGGCAGTGACGTCTGCATATGTTTTCTCCATAGACGGCAAGAGAACAAAGAGGCGAGAAACAGGAGACAAGTACGAAGGAGAAGCCAAAGCCAGAAAGCGAAAGGAAAAATCTCACCAGAGTTTGACAGTCGAGAGAGAAGGCACGTCGTCAACATCTCGAAATCGCCTCCCGATCGCCAGAGAACACACACAAACACACACACACACACACACACACATATACGAAGGAGAAGCCAAAGCCAGAAAGCGAAAGGAAAAATCTCACCAGAGTTTGACAGTCGAGAGAGAAGGCACGTCGTCAACATCTCGAAATCGCCTCCCGATCGCCAGAGAACACACACACACACACAATGATCATGAATCATCAAAAGATGGTATCTTCCCTGTTGCTTGTTATGCATTTTGCAGGACTTCAATTTGTTATAATCATTATAAGCCTCAATAATAAATACTTTTTTCATTTTATAAAAGCATATTTATTTTCCTAAATAATTTTTTTGACTTCTCATTGTATCACCAAATGTTTTTATTAATGCAAGTCTGTTTTACTAATGTAAGACTAATATCTAGAGTTTCTATGAACTTCTAGACCATTTTCTTATTAGAATTATCTGTGCTCTTATGGTTTGACTCAATTAAGGAATTTGTAATTTGCTTCTCTAATAACTATCTTGAAAAGTTGATGTTTTCTCAAATTTCAAATTACATCAACTATCTTCTAGAACAATAATTTATTTTCATCATTTTGTTTTAACTCATAAAATACACAATCATAATAACTACTCTATGTTGTGAGGTCAAACTAGTTATGAATAGAAAATTAGATTTTTTAAAATTTAAAAAAAAACTCTCTTTGCAGAGTATTTTTCTTTCCAGCTAAGTTAGAGTAATTTTACTTATGATTTGATGGCTCCAGTTTAGTAAGTAACAAAATATTATCATTTTTTAAACTATGTGTTATCATAAACTACTTCAAAATTTAAGCAACTATTCTCCCATTATATTTCCATATCCTATTTCATACCCATCAGGGCTACTTTCATAGCCCATTCTACTAAAACTTACATGCTCATTTAAATAACCTCAAATAAGTATTATTTTTTTATCAAGCCTACATTATAGGCTTTCGACCATCTCTCTCAAAATAATTTTTTTAAAATTAACTTCTAATCTAACTTGTAGAATGTAAGCCCTACCCACATTCATAACAACTTTGGTAATATTATCTACATGACAATAACCATATCACTAGTTTTATTCACATATATAATTTTAACTTCAACTCTCTATCCATAACCATCTTAACACATTCTTATTGTTAATTTTTCCTACATACATAATGTATATATTCAACTTTTTCTCATTTCTAATTAGTTTCCTGTAAACAACAATTGGCTATACGTATAAATGAATCAAAGTTACCTAACAAAGCAAGTCTTGCAAGAGATTACATCATCTATGACAAAAGTAGTAAAATAAAAAAAGGTAAATAACTACTAACCAGAGGGTCAAATTGACATCATAAGAGAAATAGAGACCATGGGTCTTTTCAGCAGCACCTAGGAGGGTTGAGAATTCAGCTTCCATCTTTTTCTGTCATAGTTAAGATTGCAGGAAGAGTTAAACATAAAAAAATAAAAAATCGAATTAATAACAGCTCACAAGCAACTTTATTGACCAGTTCAGCAGAGGAACCATCAAGCGAGAGGTTGCAAGGCAAGATCCCAAGGGTAGAAACTTTGTATATAGGGTGGCCCAAGTAAGTTCCAGCACATTCACGACCCGTAATTACAAACAGATAAGAACCTGCCATTTCAGAAAATGGATTAAAAAAATAGATGATGGCATGAATTAGAAAGAAACATTTTATATGATGAGCAGAATGCAGAAATTGAGGAATACGGTGCAAGAGCAGCTATTATAAGTAAAAATTGAGAATGTTGCAAAGAAAATAAAGCAGGTCCCCATTAAATAGTACATAAATTAAGGTTTGGCCAAGGATTAAAAAAAGAGCTCACTTGCCTACAATAAGTCTAAGCATGCCAATCACACCAAAAACAAGGCGAACATTTGGCGATTGCATATCGCCACATTGTGGAAGCTCCCCTACACAAAAAAAATAATATTATTAATAAATAAACATAATAATAATAATAAGACTAATAATAATAATAATAATAATAATAATAATGAAAATAATTTTGGCCAGAGTTCAAAAATCCAGTCTAAACAGAAGAATGTTGTATTTTACATAAAATTGTCAAAGGCTAATTTGTTCCAAGCTAAATTCTAAACGCCTATTAGTTTATATGAATGATATGAACCATCAATAGCAACAAGGAAACATACCTAAGCCCGAAGACATAGTCCAGTAGTGGCATATACTAATATAGAATGAACTTCTATTATTGTGCTATATCGATTGTCAAGTGTTAAGATTCAGTAGTTTTAAGTACTAGACCATTAGTTCAGTATCATTTAACAGCGAGAATTCAGTTTACACTGTAATTTAGAAATTAAAAAAATCAGTAATATTAAATCTCAGGCTATGAAATTGATAAAAATAAATAAATAAATAATTTGTCGCCATTAAAAATTGTTGCTTAATGCATGGGAAACAGATTTTATATAAAAGAAAAATGCACTTGCAATAACCCAGAAAAAATAGAAGATAAAAATACTCAAACCGACAAATGCTAGTTCACTGAAAGTGAAAGAGGCAAAGAGAAAAAAGGGGATATAAGCGAGCCCGTGCGGTTTCAACTTAGAGAAAGGAATAGTGAGCACATGAACAAAAAGAGATGGAACAACCAAGTTTAAATGGGTAGGCTATGTACTCAATTAAATTTTATGTCTGTATTCAAAAGAAATTCTAGATATATAAAATATATAGTATAAATCGAAATGTACACTAATTAATAGCATAGTTGAGACCGATGTTGACATGAAATTTATTTTAACAAAAAAAAAGTTATTTTGAGGAAGAACAATTAGCAAACTCATTTTAGGGATTTCATTCAAAATGTTAAAAAGAAATATTATATTATTAGAGGATGCCTAACATATGTGTATTTGATTTCATATTAAAATCAAAGGTATTAAAACTTGTATAACATTAAATATAGGTTGAGGTGGTGTACATACGGGCACATATTGAGAACGTCAATCCATTTCTTGAAGATGAAGATCTTAAAATAGATAATAATTTGTGAGTAATTACATCTCCAAGTCAAGGGAAATGTTTCCTATTTCTCAACTTTCTTCATTTAACAATCATGTTTCTAATTTAAATTTTTCATTATTATAATTTCTATCGATTGGTTCTCCGCTGCAATTGATTTGTCATATAACAACAATAATGAGTCTTTATTCCACTAAGTGGGGTCGGCTATATGTATCATTTTTCTCCATTGCGACCTATTGAGTATCTATTTTCATTTAATTCTAATAGATTAAGATTATTATTTATACAATATGCACAAGTCTTTTTAGGTCTACCTTTGTCTTTCTTAACATAAGTTGAATCTAAAACATCTACTCTCCTAACCGGATCATAAGATGGTCGACGTTTAATGTGATCAAACCATCTAAGACGACTTTCTTTAATCTCGTCTGCCACTGGAGCTACCAACCCTATCACGGATGTATTCATTTTGCATTTTGTCCATCCACCTAAGCATTCTTATCTCAGCAACATTTAATTTTATGCTTTTCTTTTAAAGACCAACATTCTGCGACATAGAGCATTGCAGGTGTCACCACCATCTTATAAAATTTTCCTTTCAATCTAAGCGGTACTTTTCTATAACACAATAAACCTGATGTATTCCTCCACTTCAACCAACCAACTTGAAACATACCCATCACATACCCATCAATATCACCATCACTTTGAACAAAAGACCCGAGATATCTAAAACGTTCACATCTTTTAATGATTTGATCACCCATAGTTACAACTCTACCACGACAGTTATTACTACTAAAATTATATTCCATGCACTCAGTTTTAGATCTAATCAAACTAAGGCCTTTAGACTCCAATGTAAACCTCCATAATTCAAGTTTTTCGTAACTCTTTCTTCTAGTATTATCCACAATAAGGATATCAGTGAAAAGCATACCTCAAGGTACATTCTCCTCTAAACGTCCAGTAAAAGCATCCATAACTAAAGCAAAAAGAAATGGGCTTTTAGCTGATCCCAGATGTAATCCAACTGAAATAGGAAAATATTTGTTCAATCCTTCTTCTGTTCGAACATAAGTAATAGCTCTAGTATACATATCTTTAATGAGTTGAAAAAAAGTCATATCAACACAGCTTTTCTCTAAGACTCTCCAAAGGATTTCTCTTGTAACCTTAACGTAAGCTTTTCTAAATCAGCAAAATTCATATGTAGATCGTCCTTATTATGTGTACTGCTCCATCAAAAATATCAATAAATGAATAGCTTCCATAGTAGACCAACCCGGCATAAATCCAAACTGATTATGAGAAATATTTGTATCATGTCTTAAACTAAATTAAATTACACTCTCCCAAAATTTTAAAGTATGACGCATCAACTTAAGGCCTCTATAATTTGCGCACTCCTGTGTGTCATTTTTATTCTTAAAAATCGGGACCAAAATACTCTTCCTCCACTCCTTAGGCTTCTTTTTAATTTTTAAAATATTATTAAAGAGATTAGTAAGCCAAGAAGCTCCCAAATCACCTAAATATTTACATACTTCAATTGGGACATCATCAGGTCCTATTGATTTTTTTACTCTCAATTCTCTTTAAAGTCTCTTCATCTTCTTTTTTACTAATGCAACGATTAAACAAATATCTTATTATTATTAATGAAATTAAAATCAGTAATGTCAATTGAATTTCCAGAAATTTTGATAAAAAGTTTATCAAAATGGCTCACCCATCTATTTTGAACATTTTCCTCTACGAAAAGCATTTTTTTGTTTTCATCTTTAATATACTATACTTGAATTACATCTTTACTTTACTTTTATTTTCTCTTTGTTTGGCTAGTTTATTGCTATATTTTTTAAACCTCTTTAATATATAATCTAACATAAAGATCACTAAAAGCGAATTTTTTATCATCACAAATTATTCTCTCAGACTTCCTACGAACCACATTATATTTTTCTCAGTTCTCTAATCATTTGCATTTAAACTAATTTTCATAACAAATTTTTTATATTTTATTTTTTTTGTACATTATTATTCCACAAGTAAATATCTTTATTGATAATTTTTTTTTATTTTGATTCTCCAAGTACCATTTTTTGTCACTTATTTAATAGTACTTGTTCTTTTATCCCACATAAAATTTATTTCTTTATGAACATTCTTAAGTCTTAAAATTTTAAAGTTTATTCATAAAAATAATTTTATTTGTCTTTTAAATGTCATCATCTAAATATATTGCAATGTTTCCTTGTAATTTTTATCTTACAACTCTTCGTCTTAAATTCCAGAACTAGTAATCAATGTTGAGTACTTAAATTTTCACTTGGAATGACCTTACAAACTTTACGTTCTCGAAGATCTCTTTTTCTCATAAGAACATAATCAATCTATGTTTTATCAGAATTATCATAGAAGTAATAATAATATACTGATCTTTTTTCTTAAAAAAAGAATTAGCAATAACAAAATTATACGCCAAAACAAAATCTAATATAGTTCTACCTTCTTCATTAATCACTCCAAAACCATAGCCACCATAAATATTTGTAAAATCTTCTACCACTTTACCAATATGTCCATTTAAATCTCCATCAATAAAATTTTTTTCTTCAAGAGGTATCATTTGTATTAATTTTTTTAGCTCATTGAGAATTTTTCTTTGAACATATATCTAAACCAACTTTAGAAGCATAAACACTTGTAACATTAAAAATGTTAGTATTACCAACAAGCTTTATGGCTATAATTCTATTTACAGTTTTATTAATTTCTTATAACATTAACATTCAAATTATTGTACCATTTCTAGTGCAACTCCTACCTGAAAATCAAAGTTTAACCCCAAGCTATCAATCTTTTAGTCTTTTCTCCAACCCATTTAGGGTCCGTTTGGGAGCGCGTCGGCACTGTGTTGAAAGCGCATCAAGAGGAGCGGTCGTGAGCTGCGGCCGTTTGGGAGCATGTAGGGAGAGCGTTGTGGGACATGGTTAAACGTCGGCCACGGAAAGAGTCCCTCGACCCGCGTTTGACTTCGGCTTTTTACGGATCGAGTCTCGCTTCCCTTATCTTCACCATAGCACGACGACTCTATAACTCCATTACCAATTGCTTGCAAAGTTTCCTGTATCAGGTTAATCCATACAAAAGCCCACAGACCACCGCGATCTACCGCTCAAACAACCCTTATACAGGTGGAGGCGACGGCTGAAGAAAGAAACAAAGAAAAAATGGCGGAAAATGGTTCATCCTTCCTCAAACCTTAGAAATTAAAAAATTATTTCTATATTTTTATATATTAAAAAATCTCCTACCTTAGAATTTCAGATATATTTCTATCTCCTCCCCATTTATTCAAGCGAAGATCTACGCTTTTTGTTTGTTTTGGCAAGATAGTCTTGGTATGGAATGACCTGATACCTTATTACATGCTTGTTAATTCTATAGTTTCCATTGCATTGTGGTAGGGCAGAGTGATATTCATTTCTATTCATATCCTACACCATGCTTGATTGCTCCAACTTAGGGAAGTTTGACTAAAGAAGTTATATCTCAGAGAGTTACTAACCATGAGCATAAGGGAAAGGCAAATATAATAGGAACTAGAGCTAAATGAAATGGTGAGAAGAAAATGGATAAGGCCATTGCTAACATGGCTATCACTTATAAGCTATCTGGAAGGCTTAGATGAGCTGGAATCAGCATTAAATGCAGCTTTTTACAGTCTTTAGCAAAAACAGACCAATTTGAGGACCAATTAATAGATTAGCACTGGTCGAATTCTATTGCTAAGAACACATGCACTTCTTAACTAGTAGAACCTTTTAGTAGAGATTTTATTACTTTTAATCTACATTTTGTTTCGCATTTTATTGATTGTTTATTTGACAATGCTTTTGAATTAGTTCCCACTGCTTATTTTTTAAGAGGTTACATGTTTTACTTTAAATTAACAAATCCTTTCTTGTAAAAATACAACTCCTTTTAAGAGGTTACTTGTTTCTAAGAGGTTACATATTTTACTTTCAATTCAACTTTCCAAATCAAATTTACAAGTCTATCTTGAGGAGAGTTTTTTTTTTGACTAATAATGAACAATTTGATATTATAGAGTAGTGGAAGTTTAATACTCTCAAGTATCCTTACTAATCCAAAATGGTTAAGGATATATTATTAATTTCAATAACAACAGTTGCTTCAGAATCTGCATTTAATACTGATGAAAGAGTTTTAATGATTATAGAAATTCACTCTCTATAAAAATAGTGAATGCACTAACATGCTCATCTAGTTAGTTCATATCTTCCATGAGTAGTTTGAAGGCTCCGTTCCTAATCTCTAAAAATAAGTTTTTAGAGTATGTTCTTTAATTCAACTTATTATTAATATTATATTTCTTTCATACCTGCAAAGATTATTGGAAGAGGAACATCTTGAAGTGAATTTACATGAATAAATAGAAGAAAGATTCAAATATTGAAGCAACGATTTCATTTCTTTATTTCATTGCACACACTTTATTTTAATATTGGACAATTATGTTTATATTTCATTAACTGCAAGTTGCCTTTTTGGAGAAGTGATCTTATTATTGAGTTCAGCCATTTGAATACGTATAGGCTGAAAAGAAAAATGTTTTATGAGATAAGCATTGTCGTGGAGATCTCTAGAGGCCCTCATGGGTCATGAAACATGATTCTGGGCAAAAAAAATTGAAGGTTGCACTTCTTCCTCTTGTTCCTATGCATTCATTATTCTATTAGTATTGCAGTTTGCAACATAGTATAGTACTTGCTTTATGATGGTGGCTAGTGTTAAGTTCTTGATTGGGTGCATTATTAAAACAACATATTACAAAACTGTTTAGATGGCTTTATTATTTTTAAGTATATTCTTTTGAGTTTCGTCATTATCGGTCTCAAGCCCGGATGCGAAAAGTGGAGGGTTGTGTTAGGTAGTCAACAAACAGTGTAAAACTTGTCGAAAAAATCATGAAAATATATTCTTTCAAATGAAAGTAATTGCAAGGCAACGATTGTCCTCAGTCTCCTAAAGTTTGCTACCTGTTGGTTTTCACATAATGTTTTTGTATTATAACAATGGTTGGATTGTTTGAATTATTACAATGGTTTGGAATTTTGACTGTTTAGCTGCTTGGTTGGGTTCGGAACAATTTACTTGTGTTGGGTTGCTTGAATTATTCAAGTATATTACAAAAATGTTTAGATGTGCCCTCCAAACTGTTGCACTTCTTTCTCTTAATTATATTATTTGATTTGGTTTGGGAGCAGAGCAAGGATTGCCTGTGCTTAAATTATTTAAGTAAATAGATAGATGACCCTGTTTGGTTGGGGAGAAAGGATTATTTGTGCTGGGAGCAGAATTACTTGTGATGACCTGGGTTTCTTTGCTAACAATGAATCTTTTATTACCATAGTTTACTTGTGTTGGGGCCTGGGAGCAAGGTTTTTAAACTATTATTTCTAAGTTTTCAAGCTTTCCTGCTTGGTTTTTAAGCTTTTTTTAGGCCAAAAAATTATTAACATAGTTAAGATGTTATTAGAGGCTATGATAATTACAATTTACAAAATCTCATTATTGGTATGGAATATTGGCATCCGTGTTTGCAACCAGTTTAAAAATAAGAATAAATAAAGTTGTTTAAAATTATTAATCTTACTCTTTTACTTTGGAAGGCAAACACTTATGCAAACTATAATGGAGGATTACAATAGTTTGTCCGGAATTTAAATTGACGCCTTAGATATTAACTCCAATTTCATTATACTTAGAAGACACATAAACTGTGCAACCGTATAGTTGATTTACATGCAAGTGGTGAAAAGAGTTCATAATGTATAATCTAAGCCTTATTAATTACATCTTAATGTTTATCTTCTTTTCTAATTTGTTGTCTTTTTTCCTAATATATAAGTAAAAATTGCAGGTACAAGATCGTTATCAGCTCATCGTCACTCACTAATCAATACTGATTGGATCGTCAAGCATAAAGATCGAGGAATGAGTACAAAATCATAGAGAGTTTAAATTTAATGTATTTTTTTGTATTTATTAGGTATATAAGTCATAAGTGTAAGTATAAGTGTAATTTTGTAAATATAAACGTGTAATCAATTATTTTTTATGCTTTGATTTTTATTTGGATTTATTTATATTCTGATTTAGTTTATAAATTATAAATTTGTAATAAATTTATTTTTTAAATGAAGTAAAATTTTGAAGTAATTTACTTTATTGGCCAAAAAAATTTTGATATTTTTATTGTGCAAAATTTTGTATCAAATTTATTCTTGAAATTTTTTAGCTAATCAATATTTTATAGTTTTGAAATTAAAATATTAATGCAAACACTTTTTTTAACAAAATTATTATTTTAATTTTATTCAAAAAATTATTATGATAATATTTTTTTATTCTAACAAGTCAATTTCAAGCCGAACAAGAATAAGTAAATCGAGTCGAACACGAACACACTGTTCATGAGCTATTTCGAACACGAGTCACTTTCGAACGAGCCAAACACGAGCCCTAGTTGAAGATGCCAATTTACTCGCGCGCATAGATATTTTGCCTGCGAGCTCAGCAAAAAAATGAAATTAAGACCTTGTCAAACATTGATAGCAAGGATATATCGACCAAGGGTGAGCATGTTTATTTCCACCTCAAACAATAGTAGAAATGTTTTATGCTCTATTATGTCATACATATCGGCTGAGATTGTGTTAGGTTGTGTTTAAGCAGTGCTTATAATATAGATAAATAAGTTAAGATATATGAAGTTCATTAGAAGTTAAATACTAAGTCCTAGAAAAGTAGAGCAGAAGTAAATAATTCAAAATTTTATGCATGTGAAGATTTTGGATCAATTTCGTGGACATAACTATCATTAATATTTTCAATTACTATATGATTTTCTATTAAAACTTAACAGAAAATACCAGCATGCAAATTAAATTCCTTTCATTGATTTAATGTGGTTTCGAAGTGTAATTAATTCAGTGGGTTACTTTAGATAACTTAATATATTTTTTATTTAATAATTCATGTTGAAATGAGCGAAGTAAGAGAATCATATGCGGAACAACACCATAGCAAGGTATTTATTTTATATTTTTTTTAGATTATGTATTTTATTGCTCTTTCATTATAAAAAATGGATAGATTTTAATTCATAACAATCTACAAATAATAGTTATAATTTAAACACCGTCCAACCGTTTGTTCCTGTCTTGAAAATTTGAAGCTTTGAGACGGGTCATGACGGCACTTAGACCAAAACAAAATAGTTCATACATCAAAGCTAATCTAAATCATGCTCAAAATATCCAGCAAAATTAGGACCATTTTCAGAAAAGAACCAGCTTTACTTGATTTTTCTGCTTGTACTACATAAGAAACTTAGCTTCGGTGGTGCTTAACTATATAATGAAAGAAAATGCAAACTCTGTTAGATTTTTATATAATATTTGGGAACCATAACAAAGTGAAATGCTTTAGCAATGTCTCAATGCACTAACAAGCAGACTTCAGAAAGAAACAAAATTTTCAGCGGCTGCAGAGACCTAAGATGCTTCTCCATAACACCTGATTTATTCTGCATAAGAGGCATGCCACAAAAAATAGAAGAAACAATTTTACAAACCGATTATAACCCACTGAAAATTTATTCTTAGCAATCTTTTTCCCTCTTATACGAGATCGCACAGGAACTTCCAAAATAAGTAAAATTGTGCTGTGCACCATTATACTCTTTCACAAATCATAACCAATTTTGACGTTTTGCATCATGAAATATCTAGATTGATAAAACATTCTTTGACTTCTAATTTCTACAAAAAATAAAGCGGCATAAATTTCTTCGTAGTAGAACAAAAATTACTTCTCAATCTTTGACTTAAAATAAGTATTTATACAAAAATAACCAATAAGAATACAAACCAATTAAATTCATTGATCCATCTGTCCGGCTGATTGATAGATAAGAATCAGTAATGGCACTATCGATTGGTTCAAAGATATATTTGTCTGCAAATTCCCACAAGCGCATTCTTTCATAAAGTTTTTTATCAGAAAATCTTTTCTCCATGTCATCCATCATTTTAATTTCTGCAGCAAGTAAAAGAAAAGATTGACACTAAATCGTAATTGCTGAATATCAAAAAGAAAAAATTGATTCAGGTTCTTTGAAACTCCTAATCATTCAAAATACGAAAGCTAAGTAAATGGTTTTCAAAAACTGAGTCTACAATACTGTTAAAGGATGCATGTAAATCTATCATTCCTCCACGAATCCAATAACCTAGAAAAAACTAAACACTCGAGTAATATAGTTTGCAGAGTAAATAACTCATATGGTTGTTAGAAAACAAGAAAAGTTATGTACCTTGGCTATGTCACAAGTAAAAGAATCAAGACTAAATGGCAAATACTAAGAAGAAGCAACCAAACTAATAAAAAACTAAAAGGCAAGAGCCATCGTGGCAATCATTAGCAGCATTAGAAAACTACTTCTCAATGTCTAACTTGATTTTGTGCAATCCTTTGCGGCTCCTATGCATAAAACTTTTGGTCTGCCCATTCTCTTTCAAAAACCTTTGACGATAATGTTAGTTATCTGTATTGATGGTGCATATTCTAGCATTCATTATACATACCCAAACAACCTCAATCTATTCACCCTATATATTTTCAATAGATGGTACTCGTTTCATCTATATAATATAATTATTTATTACTCTTCTTCAAATTTTTACCACACATTATTATTAGCATTATCACCATTACCAATTAAACATAGCTATTATTAGGATTATTAGCCTAACTATTAGACTAATTACTATTGCAGTTATTATTAGCTTTTATTTTCTTGTTTTATATTCTGTTTGCATACTTATGTATTTCCTAGTTTAATTGTTTTTGAATTTAAGCCTTTCGTTTTATTTAGGCCTTGAAATATGTATTTATACCCCTCTTCCTATCAATAAAATCATCCTGATCCATTCCCAAATTTCTGCCCGGTATCAAAGACACTGATCAAACCCTAGCCACAAAACTTCCTGTGGGCCTCCAATTTTCAGCAGCCGGTTCTTGCAATTTTTTCCCTGCCGGTTAGATATCTTGCAGCTAATAATCAGCCATTGGTTCCTGTCAGCCAGAAGTTGTTGGTTCCTACAATTTTTTTTCTTACCAGTTTGTTATCAACTGGTTCTTACAGCTTTCCTTTCAGCTACTGGTCCCTTCCAGCCGTTGTACCCTTTCAGCTGTAAATTTCCTGCATCCCTTTCTTTCAGCTGCAAGTATGCTGCCACTTGTATACTTTCGGCGGCCGTTTCCTGCAACATTTTTTTATCCGTCGTTTCCGAGCGAACCTGATCTCTAGCTGGCAGAGATCACCTGTGAGCCCCATATTTTTTGTCTGTTGCATAAGGGCCCTTCTCCATCTATGGCTTAACATCATAACCTAACATTTGGCTCCGTCGAAGTCATGGTGCATTCCTCCACCACCAAGCCTCCTTCCGACGAGGTCCTTACATCCCCCGAAGGATCGGCACCTCCCTCAATCTCTCTGCAAACCGGAGGGCAGGAAAATAACACGAGTCTCCTAGTTACTACCCACAAACTCAATGGCTCGAATTTCCTTCAATGGACTCAAGTCGTTTCCTTGTTAGTCAAAGGCCAAAGTAAATTTGGGCACCTCACGGGTACGATTCGCGAACCCTCAAAGGGCCCAGTATATGCAACGTGGGAAGTGGAAAATTTCATGGTTATGTCATGACAAATCAACTTTATGAAGCATAAGATTGGTCATTCGTGTATGTTTCTTCCTTCCGTCAGTGTCCTATGGAATGCAATTTGAGACACCTACTCAGATGTAGGGAACTCTAGCCAACTTTATGAGATTTTCCAAGATCCGGAAGGTGAAACAGGGATCAAGGACAATGGCCCAGTACTACAATGGTTTAGTGGCTTTATGGATGGAATGCAATCTTTATTATGACTACATATGAGAACACTGGCTAATCTTTCCCTTCATAAAATTGTAGAAAAAGATTACATGTTCAATTTCTGACAGGCCTTAGCAAAGACCTTGATGAAGTCTGGGGCCGAATCCTTGGTCGGGATCCCCTTCCACTCACATTGCTTCCACAGAATTTGATGTGAAAAGAGCCAGAGAATTGACTTGCTCAGCACTTCTACTTCAGTTAAATCATCTGCCTTTGCTACTAATAGTATTCAACGCTCATCAAACCCTCCTCGAGCCACTAGGTCCACTTCTGATTACTGTCACAAACCCAACCATACTCGAGAAAAGTGTTGAAATCTCCATGAGATAGCGGCACACAAACTTTCAGTCAAATCCTCCTCTGCCAAAGGTCTCGCTACGGCATCTGAATCTACTACGGTACAACCAACTCCTATTACGAACATGCTGAAATCACCTGACTCTCTTAAGAGTCAGGTGGAGCAATTTATCATACTACTTGGATTCAACCAGTTCACTTTTGACTTGTCAACCTCCAACGTCCGTCAAGGTATCACTCCTATGGCACTCACTTCTTTTTCTAGTTCATGGATAATTGATTTAGGGGCTACGGACCACATGACTAGATACTCTCAAGCTTTCTCAACATATTATCCATGCTCTGGGAAAGATCCAGTCAAATATAACAATGGTTCTTGTAACTCTATTGTTGGTAAAGGAACAGTTGTGTTAACAAGCAATCCAACTCCGGAATCAATTTTATATGTCTTTCGGTTGAAATGTAACTTGTTGTCAGTTAGTAAGCTGACACATGACATGGATTGTGCTACTAATTTTTCTCCTTATGTTTGTGCCTTTCAGGATCATTGTTCGGGGAGATGATTAGAACTGCAAAAAAAGTTGTTGGGCTCTACTTCTTTCAAGAGAAAGGCATAAAAAACGATGAAATTTCTCTCATTAATTGTACTTTTTCTCGATCCATTGAATGTCCTATTATGTTGTTGCATTATCGTTTAAGTCATATAAATTTGCAGTATTTAAAATAATTGTATCCGCCGATGTTTACTAATAAAAATCTTGTTAACTTCAAATGTGAGATTTGTCAATTAACTAAACATCATCGCATTTCGTATCCATCTCATCCTTTTCGCTCTTTTTCTCTTATTCACATTGACTTGTGTGGACCTTCTCGTACTCCCAGCTAAACTAATAAACGATAGTTCCTTACATTAATCGATGATCATGCTCGAATGACTTGGGTCTACATCTTAAAAGATAAATTTGAAGCTATTGACACTTTCAAAAACTTCCACTCTTTTATTTTAACCCAATTCAAAACTTCTGTTCAAGTCCATCAAACTGACAATAGCTGTAAGTTTTTTAATTCCATTTTAGGTGAGTTCTTGATAAGTAAGAGCATCCTCCATCATAGCTCATGTACAGATGTGCATCAGCAAAATATAGTCAGAAGAAAAAACTAACATCTTCTCAAAGTAGCTCAAACCATTATGTTTCAATCTAATATCCCGAAAATGTTTTGTAATGATGTCGTGTTTGCTGTCACTTACCTCTCATCAATAGAATTCCCACAAAAAATTCATAACTTTAGAACTTCATTAGCTATCTTGATGTCATGTTTCCCTACTAAGCAGTTCTTCACCACTCTTAAACTGAAATTTTTTTGGTGTGCGACCTTTATTCTGAACCCTACCTCTAATCGTAATAAGCTTGATCCCAGGTCTATAAAATGTGTCTTCCTCGGATATTCTGCCACTCAAAAAGGTTATCGGTGTCTTGATCCTACTACAAATAAACTCAATGTAAGTGTTGATGTCTCTTTCTTTGAAAGTGTTCTCTACTGCCCTGTCATTGCCTCAAGAGAGAGAGAGCTTGATTTCTTGAACACTATTCCCTCGATTGTAGCCCAGAGCAGTGTTGAAACCAAGTTTGGCTCATTGGCCTTCGATATCAGTGAAGCTCTCTGGTTACGAATCATGCTCCGAGAATTGCGTATGTCAGTCACTGCTCCTCTCCAGCTATTCTGTGATAATAACGTTGTCATTAGTATTGCTCATAATCCAGTCCAGCATGATCGGACTAAGCATGTGAAGATTGACAGGCAGTTCATTAAGAAAAAACTCGATTTATGGGAGATTTATATCCCATTAGTCATATACAATGGTCAATTAGTAGATATCCTTACCAAGAAACTTCCCTGACCATGTTTGACGACTTCAAATCCAAGTTAAACATGATGGACATTTATGCTTCAATTTGAAGAGTATTATAATTATTAGCATAATTATTAGGCTAATTATAGTTGCAGATATTATTAGTTTTTATTTGTTTCCTTTATTTTTTGTTTCCATGTTTATGTGTTTTCTAGTTGATTTTTTTTCTGAATTTATCTTTCCTTTTATTTGAGTGTTGTAATATATATTTATTCTTCTCTTCCTATCAATAAAATGATCTTGCTCTATTCCCAAATTTCTACAGCTATTGATGGTTTCTTCATTGCCAAAACTCAAATGTGAATTGTCTAATAAGGTAGCCAAAACGATTCATACCTCACTCAAAATTTAACTTTACTTGACATCAACTCTGGTTTTGAACTCTATTCAAATTAAAATCAATCACTTAAAAAAACTTGAAACGAACAAATCAAAACGTTCAAGAAAAAATTCAATCAGTTAAAACCATCAATTCATCTAGGGTGACAAACTTTTGATTGACTTCAACTCATAAAAGATGAATGTCACATCAAATGTATTAATATATTCACACTCAAATCAATTTCATGCCAGTAAGGATGTGGCATGAGTCTTCTATCTATGTGGTTTGACCCAGCAACTCCACAAAAAATAATGATTATGACCAAAACTTTCTGATCGAGTGGTTGCCACAAAATTACACCATTATATTATAGTCATAGTCATAACTCGTATATTCCCCAACGGCTTTTAACCCTTTAAGTTGTGAACAATAAAGATACATTTGATTGATATAGAGTTTTTTATTAACTATGAACGACTTAAATTTGTCTCTTAGATAAACATCTACCCCAAGTCTACAAGGGTCCCTTGGAAGACACAACTTATAATTACTGACAAAGATTCTTATTTCAGGTTGGGTCAACTACTCCCTTCGCTACCTAAATAGATCGGGGACCACGATGACCCGTGACAATGGAATTATGGGATCTTGATTGGGTTCATCACAATTTCCCCCACCATAACTCAATGTGATAAATTGGTCAATCTAAAACCCTAAAATTTGTTGCTGCTATGCGTTGAATGTTAAATGCTAAATGATTAGTCTTAATCGAAAGGGTTCTCCTGTTATCCGAAGGAGTAATTAACCATAAAGACTTGTGCTCATGGGAAACCTCGAACCACTGATAAAAAAATCCTCGCTAAATAATGATGAAATCTCTATGTAGTGTCTTATCTACAATCCAACTTTCCTTCAGAAAATTTGACCCAGAATATCAAATATAAAGCTCTCAATAACATAATTTTTTAGAGAGACTGCGCTGCTAACTTATGTCAATTTGTGAAGGAGCAGAGAATCAGTACAAGTGCAAGAAATTAGGATCATATCTTGATTTAAAAAGAAGTGATCTCAAATCATTCACATGTTGTGGAAGAGAAAGCACAGAATTAATAATAAAACTACCATAGAAGATGGAAAGCAGTACTAACAGTTGTGGATCCTCCTTTAATCACATCTAGAGTGTCTCATAACATCAATGACCTTCATAGATTTAGATTCACTCAAAGGCACATTATCAGGTTATCATAGAACGGTTGGTCCAACAACCATCACAATCTTTAGATAAAGTTTAAATAGATCTACACGAACTTCCTCATTTATTGCTTCAATGATTTTTTAATACAAATGAGCAAAAGCTTATTTTATAAGTTTAGAACGACATTGGTGCTTTTCTTTGATATCTTCGAAAGTTTATCATATTGTTGAAAATTGAGATTAAAATTTTTGCATGTCCTGCTGA